ATTGGTAGGTTGAGTCTACGTTACTTAATCACCGTCTTAGGTAATGAGTGATCTCACATTTGGTGTTGGTGAATAAGGTTTTGCTATGAGAGCTGGTGTGTTTCAACGTATTGTCATGCGCACTGACCAAGACGTGTTGACTGCATCAAGATCGACGTAGTAGCTGAGAAACTGCCCGCCCATGACGAAGCCGAGCCCAGGGACCAGTACGGGACATCCACACTACATACGACCCTTGAAGATCTGGGTCAGAATAGGTCTTCCATGCCTTAACGGCGACTATGCTTCTCGCACGAGGCGACTAACGGGAATCGGGTGGACAGGCTCGCTGACTTGGTTGCATGTCATTGTATCCCAATTGCGTGGATCGATGCTCATGATGTCAATCACTGGATTGCCTGGTCCATACAGGATTATTTACAGACCGCCCTCATATAGATGGAATATTGCTGAGTGGGGCGATAAACAACAAACAAACAAACAAACACACTGCATGCCTGTGTATTAGGAAAAGTGTTACAGAACATAGGTTAAGTGGGGTGTACCAGTCGATACTTTTGCCGCTTTTGTAGTGCTACCCCACAGTTTAACAGGGATATCCCACTGAGATACATGACACTGATTCCGAGATCATCCGCCCTTGGTTATTCCCTTTAATGGGGCGGTCGGGTAGCCTAGTGGTTAAAGCGTTCGCTCGTCACGCCGAAGACCCGGGTTCGATTCCCGACATAGGTACAATGTGTTAAGCCCATTTCTGGTGTCCCCCGCCGTGATATTGCTGGAATATTGCTAAAAGCGGCGTAAAACCATACTCACTCACTATTCCCTTATGTCGAGCGCCAGGCAGGTTAACAAAAAGTACTTTTAACGTCACTTCTGTGACGCCATATAAAGTTTTAAATCAAATTATATTTTAAAAAGTATGCACCCTCCGACGGCAGACGCAAGCTTAAGACTGAGTGGTCTCAACAGGTTATCTCCCTTTTATACCGCGCGCGCCCACTAATCATTAATCCTTTTTGAAAAGATGGATCTTACTTGTATTCAGCTTCTCGGAGTGGTCAATTAGGTAAGAGAAATTGTTCACATATCAGGGTGTATCAGGTCTAATTTCCGGTACTTGACATTTCGGTATCAACATGACATGTATTATTATGATGTTGTAAAAGATACGGAGGTTGCGAGTAACTTATTCAACCTTTAAAACTTGGGTGGCCCAGTCGTCTAAGGCGCCGCAATTCGCTGTGTGGAGTTGCGTCCTTTTGGGCAAGCCAGAAACCTATGATTGTGGGTTCGAATTCCGGTTCGCCCCGATTATGTGTCTAGGTTTGTCACCACCATACACGTGCTCGTTTCACCGAAGTGGTAAACGTCTGAGACCTTCATCACTTCGGGATTTTCTCCCACATTAAGCTGACACTCGCTGATATAACTGGAAATAACTCACTCACTCATGAGCATAGATCTACCAAATTGGGATACGATGACATGCATCAACCAAGTCAGCGAGTCTGACCATCCGATCCCGTTAGTCGCCTCTTACAACAAGCATAGTCGCCTTTAACGGCAGGCATGGGTTGCTGAAGACCTATTCTACCCCGGATCTTCCTGGGTACTTTAAACAATACTGACATGGGGAAAGAGTTTTTTCAGTCCTAGACTCTCCCCTTAGGGTTTCTTCAGGAAAGCCACATTTTATATAATTCTCATATTTCACATAATGAAGACCAATTCTTACCCGACATCCAATATTTGATAGAAGCTTACATGAACATCCCATACATAACCAAATTCCAATTAGCACGCATTTCACTTTAGACGCAAGATTCGGATCGTTCTTAGATTATCAGGGGCACGGGTGGCCCAGTCGACTAAGGCGCCGCGATTCGCTGTGCAGAGTTGCGTCCCTTGGGCACACCAGAAACCTATGATTGAGGGTTCGAATCCCGGTTCGCCCCAATTATGGTTCTAGGATTGTCAGCACCATAACAGTGCTCGTGGGTTTCACCGAAGTGGTAAACGTCTGAGACCTGCATCACTTCGGGCTTTCCTCCCACATCAAGCTGACACGCCGCGATATAACTGGAATACTGTTAAAAGCGGCGTTAAACCCAACTCATTCACTTACTCACTCTTAGATTATCAGCGATGTAGAGGTGCAATGTTGTGACCTTTCAAAATTGATACATGTATCTGGCTTAATGCTTTTCGGGGTTTCGACAGATGGCTGTCTGTTCCTCCGACTCAAACGATGAGTGTTATGACACTAGCCTGTGGTTGTCAAGTCTGTACCAGTGACATAGTGCAGACTCCTTATGCGTATCATCCTCGACAATCAGGGGAAATATTCAACAATTCTACTATGGTACCCTGGACCTATTCGGCACCAAAGCTTCGTGTTATCCAGTTCCAAGACATGAAGCAGAAAAAGCTGTTCAAACTCGCATGCGATTGACATTATGTGCGCAGTTTCTGAAAAGAGATGACTACTGTAGCGAAACTTTCCAAACCAGCCATTTATAAATACCGTATAACGACTCCCTGCTCAAATTACGCTATGATACAGAATGGGTCTCGACTGTTCATAGCAATAGAGACATGATACAGTTGATCTTCGAGGATGAATATGGATGGTGTTGATGGCGGTGCACTGATCAAGACGCTGTTGGTTATCGTACACAGAGACCACATGAGTTAGTGAGTTAAAACTGAACATCTCATCGGCATTATTTCATATAGTGTTGGTGGACACAATGGGTACTCGTAACGACCCTGAGAATTGGTCTTCAGCAAATCATTCTTGCCGTAAGGGGCGACTAACGGGAGCGGGTGGTCAGGATCGCTGACTTGGTTGATGCATGTCATGGTTTCCCAATTGCTTAGATCGATGCTCATGATGTCAATCACTGGATCGTCTTTTTGCAGACTCGATTATTTGCATACCTACGTCATAGAGCTGGAATACTGCTGAGTGCGGAGTTTAGTGTGTGTGTGTGTGTGTGTGTGTGTGGGGGGGGGGGGGGGGGGGGGGTGGTGTACAGTAACGGAGAAGTTACTAGAGTGGTGACTCTCAGCTGGTAGGTCACAGCGTTGATCTCATTGGCCGCTGGTTTCTTTGATCGAAATGTTATATGTATGCTTATTCAGAATGTAGCAGTGGCTGCTGAAAATATTGCCCGAACAGAAGGTTTGTGCGTCTGACATACTGGCTTGGATGTTCACGCAGTTAAACTAATTTACTTTTATAAGACGTTAAAACAGATGATTATTTAAGATTAATTGAATGAACATAGTCCGCCACTATAAACTGACGTCACGCCCTGTAACCATATGGGAATCGAACCTGGGCCTTCGAGCGAACGTTGCAACGACTAGGCTATCCTAGTAAAATGAAAACTTAAGAAAAAAAACCTTTGCTTATCTCCCTTTGATAATGACACAACACTTGATCAAACGCGTGATTGGTGTGTATCTTGCCAGGCGAAATAAAAGAAGGTGTTAAGGAATAACTCAAGTTGTCTTTGTTCCATTGAGAAATTATGTGCGGATGTCCCGTTCTGAAAATATAAAGCATAACAAAGTGGTATCACTCCTGGGCAGATTAATGTCAGTTTGTAACAATCGACGGGGCGGTCGGGTAGCCTAGTGGTTAAAGCGTTCGCTCGTCACGCCGAAGACCCGGGTTCGATTCCCGACATGGGTACAATGTGTGAAGCCCATTTCTGGTGTCCCCCGCCGTGATATTGCTGGAATATTGCTAAAAGCGGCGTAAAACCATACTCAGTCAGTGTAACAATCGACAACCGACTTCACGTTCGGTGTACAAATATAGCTGTACCTAACACATTCATGTATCTACATTAGTGATTAATATACGTCAACACCAGCGAATAACCAGTCTTGATAATACGATCCCGATATGATTGGATCACTGGAAATCAGTGACAACACCTGCGCAGGCGGTAGCAGCCGCCACTCACACAATGTTCAAAAGGTGTATGTGATTGTCGCCTGACACAATATCCTTGTACTGCTGTCGGTTTCAAAACCTACTTCACGGGTGAGTGTGAGTGAGTTGGGTTTTAACGCCGCTTTTAACAGTAATCCAGTTATATCACGGCGTGTCAGCTTAATGTGGGGGGAAAGCCCGAAGTGATGCAGGTCTCAGATGTTTACCACTTCGGTCAAACCCACGAGCACGAGTATGGTGCTGACAAACCTAAAAAAATAATCGGGGCGAACCGGGATTCGAACCCTCAATCATAGGTTTCTGGCGTGTCCAAGGGACGCAACTCTGCATAGCGAATTGCGGCGCTTTAGACGACTGGGCCTTACTTCACGGAATATGGAAGGTCAGCAGCCCCTACGCCGCCACCAAATACATTCCCAGCAGTTGTTTTTTCGGTCACATCCATTTGCTGTATATATG